TGTGACCAAGTGATTTGGTCAAAGAACTGTGAGAAGTGATGCATGCCAGGCTAAGTGGAAGTTTTAAGTGCTAGTGTGGGAGGCACCATGGTCTCTTTCCCTCTGCCATTAAGACTGGTGACCTATTTACAAGACAGAAACAGACTCAAAGACTCAGAAAACAAACTCACGGTAACCAAACGGGAAGGGTTGGTGGGCAGGACATGGAGGGAGAGACTGAGAGCTTGGGGCTGACGTGTGTGTGCTGCCATATTTAAACTGGATACCCAGGACTTCCCTGGCGGCTCAGTGGTAAAGAATCTGCCTGCCGGTGCAGGAGACACGGGTTCGATCTCTGGTCGGGAGAGGTCCCACATGCCAAGCAGCAGCTAAGCCCGAGCACCGCAGCTCCTGAGCCTGTGCTCTGAGCCCACACATCACAGCCACTGAGCCCACACACCCTGGAGCCCCGGCTTCCCGACGAGATGAGATGCTGCGATGAGACGTCCTCCTGCACCCGAGAGGGGCCTCCGCTCGCGGGCACTGGAGAAAGGACCATGCGGCAGCAGAGACCCAGCACAGCCAGAAACAAATAGATGAATGAGTGAAATTATGTGTAAGTAGATAACCGACAAGGACCTACTGTGTAGCACAGGGAATTCTGCTCAGTACTCTGTAATAACCTAAATGGGGAAAGAATTTGAAAAAGAAGAGAAAAAAGAGGTCATTTATGTGACCTCACAAGGTGAGTGAGGACACAGCTTAGACCTGAAGCCAGTGCTATACCGCAAACCCTCCTTTGGGGCTGACCTTGTGAAAGCGCTTTGACGACTACAAAACCTTAAGGAATGTCAAGTGATGAAATCAGCATGACGACCAGCTGAGGAAGTTGGGCCTCGGCTTTGTCAAACCTGGTTCCAAATGCCAGCTCTGCCACTTACGAGCTGGGTAACTCTGGAGACATTCTTTAATCTCTTTGAACCCCTGTTTCCTTAGTTGTAATGAAGATAATATTATGCATATTCTATTTTCCTGATGAGTAAATGCGATAATAAATGGAAAGGTCTTAGCATGATGCTAGTCTCATAGTAAGTGCTGCTAAGTTATTTGGAGGGAATATAATGCCAAAGAATTTGGTTTGAAATAGCAACAATAAAGAAGCTACTCCTGGCCGGGACAGGGCCAGGGTTGAGTGCAGGGCAAGGTTTCTCCATGGCAGCACTTTGAAGCTCTGGAGTCCGCTGACTTCTTGCTGTAGGGGAGGGGCTGCACACGGCAGAATGTCTAGGAGAGACGCTGAAGTCTTGCATATGGCCGCAACATCCGGGCTCTTTTATTGTTCAGCCCCCACCCCCACCCCCCCGTCACATCCGACTCTTTGTGACCCCAAGGACGGCAGCGCGCCAGGCTTGCCTGTCCTTCACTATCTCCCAGAGTCTGCTCAGACTCATGTCCATTGAGTTGGTGATGCCATCCAACCATCTCACCCTCTGTTGTCCCCTTCTCTTCCTGCCTTCAATCTTTCCCAGCGTCAGGGGTTTTTTGTAATGAGTCAGCTCTCTGCACCAGGTGGCCAAGGTAATGGAGCTTCAGCTTCAGCATCAGCTGAATAATCAGGGAAGAAAGAAAGAAAAGCAAGATCCAGAGTAGCTTGAGAACTCCCCGGGCAGGTGAGGACTGGTCCGAGGCCGTGCAGACGGGCAGAAAGAGGACCAGAGCCCTAACAGACCCGCCTCTGTCTGAGGCTGCGGCGGCCCCCAGGACCACAGCGGGGGTGGCGCTGTGTTTGTGTCCGGGTCCCTCTGCCCTTGTCATTTCTCATACGCAGGGGCTGAGTGAACCTGAAAGGAGCACCCTCTCCTGTGCTCTAGGACCATGCTCTCCACTGATGACCTCGACTCTGCCTGCATACACAGGACCAACAACAACCATTCGGTCTCACCCCAGCCTCTTCTTGGATGCCACTCAAGATCCACAGTCTTTTCTCACCATTCTGGCAATTGTGAAGAGCATTTCTCGTGTGTGTGGAGTCTTAGCAGTGGAGTGGGCTCCCTCGATCCTTGCTGGCACCCCTCAGAGCCACACTCTGGCTTCCCTGCACGCCGCAGCTGGAGCCCATCTGTGTCTGTGGCTCCCTGGACCTCACCTCGGTTCACGCTCCCCACGTGAGTCTACGGCTTTGCTGCTGAGGGTGAATCTCATTTCTACTTCCCTTGCCCAGAAACTCTGACGCTCATGTTTGTCACCGCCTACATTCCTCCCTGCAGTCTTTGTCTTTGGACAATACCACTCTTCTTTCCCCCTACACTGAAGATGACCTCTGTAGGCTTTCCCAACCGCTAACAGTGAAGAAAGAGTTGTCTTGATAACCCAACAGAAAATGGGCGAAGGCTTGAACGTTCTCAAAGGAGAATATCCAAATGGCCAAGAAACATGAAAATGGGCTGTTTCACTAGCCTCTGGACTTCCCTGGTGGCTCACCTGGTGAAGAATCTGCCTGCAATGCAGGAGACCTGGGTTCGATCCCTGGGTTGGGAAGATCCCCTGGAGAAGGGAAAGGCTGCCCACTCCAGTAGTCTGGCCTGGAGAACCCCATGGACTGTATAGCCCGTACGGTTGCAGAGAGTTGGACATGACTGAGTGACTTTCCCTTTCACTGGCCTCCAGAAAAATGCAAATTTAAACCACAATATACTCACCATCACCATGGCTCAGGATGGAAGACACAAGAATTGGTCTTAATGTTCATGGTCTGCAACTGGCAACAGAATTTAGTACAGGCACTTTGGAAAACTGTACAGCAATATCTACTAATTAATAAAGTATTAAATTCCCTAGTGAGTGCTCTGCGCTCGTTCAGTCGTGTCCGACTCTGAACCCATGGACTGAAGCCTGCCAAACTCCTCTGCCCATGGAACTTTCCAGGCAAGAATATTGGAGTGGGGTGCTGTTTCCTTCTCCAGGGCATCTTCCTGACCCAGGATCGAATCCGTGTCTCTTGCGTCTCCTATGCTGACGGGTGGATTCCCTTACCACTAGCACCACTTGGGAAGCCCCATGAGCGCTCATGCCCACTCACAGAATTTGCAATGCTGTTCACAGCTGCCTCAAACTGAGACTACCCAGATGTTCATCAACCACAGCACAGAAAAATAAATGGCATTATATTCTCACACTGGAATACTACATAGCCCTAGGAATGAATCAAGTATGACCTTAGCGATGAATGAGTGAATCTCACAACATGTTGAGCGAGAGAACCTTGACACAAAAAGAGAACAGTTCTATGACACCCTTTCAGTAAAGCCCTGGAACAGACACACCCACGCTATCGGAGGCGGTAGCAGGGCCTCCCTGGCGTCCAATGGTGGTGTGAGCCGCTGCAGGGACGAGCGAAGATCCCGCGTGCCTGGGGGCCACCGAGGCTGCCCGCCTCACACTAGGCCCACGCCCAGAGCCCGAGCGCCTCCGCGAGGGAAGCCGCGCCCCACCCCGCGAGGGACGGCGCCTGCTCCCTGCAGCCGAGCGAGCGGAAGCCGCGAGGCCCGAGCAGCCGGAAGTCCATAAACGATCAACTGTTGTTTGAAAAGCCTCGTGACTCTTGGTGATGGGAAGACAGCATGTGCGGTGGCTTTTCTAAAAAACGAATTTATTTTAATTGAGTTATAGTTGATTTACAATATTATGTTAATTTCTGCTGGACAGCAAAGTGAGTCACATGTATATATGTATATATGTGTGTGTGTGTGTGTGTGTGTGTGTGTGTATATATAATATAAAAATCCAGTACTCTTGCCTGGAAAATCCTATGCACGAAGGAGCCTGGTAGGCGACAGTCTATGGGGTCGCAAAGAGTTGGACAGGACTGAGCAACTTCACTTTCACTTTCATACACACACACACATTCTTTTTTATGTTCTTTTCCATTTTGGTTTATCCCAGGATATTTAATATAGTTCCCTGTGCTATGCAGTAGGACATTTTTGTCCACCCTGGCTGGATATTCCTTGATTTGGGTGCTGGTCATCCAGGAATGGGGTTTCCTAGGTGGTGCAAGTGGTAAAGAATCCACCTGCAATGCAAGAGACACAGGTTCAATCCCTGCCTCAGGAAGATCCCCTGAAGAGGAAATGGCAACCCACTCCAGTATTCTTGCCTGTAAAATTCCATGGACAGAAGAGCCTGGCGGACTACAGTCCATGGGTCTGCAAAGAGTCAGACACAACTGCGCACACACACATGGGCTTCCGTGAGCTATAGGTATGAGCTATAGGTATCATTTTGTAAAAATTCATTGAATGTACAGTTATGGTCAATGCACTTGTCTGTATCTGTATTTTCCCTTACCATGAGTCAGGTTATCTGCAAGCAGATTCCAAGAGGGAGGCTTATGGCAACAAGTTTACTGGGGGGAGCTCCCAGGAACACCACCTATGAGAGTCAAGCTGACTGAGCAGAGAGTGCAGGTGACAGACACTGAGGCTCTTCCCATACCCTGACTGTTGTGAATGATGCCGGGCAGCGCCTGGAGCAGAGGGCTCGGCCCGGAAAGCTCAGAGCTCCTGCCCCCCAACCCCCAGCGGCTCAGTGTGGAAGGCGTCCACAGCAACCTCTCCATGTTCGCATTAAAAACTGAAAAAGAGACTGCCTTGAACTGTGAGCTAAGTCAGAGGAAACATTCGAGGAAAAAACAAACAAATGAACAAAATGGGACGGCCAACACGCACAGTGACCGCGGACTGCACTGCGGTGGTGATTTCGGCTGTTCCAGGACCCTGGACTCTGAACAGGGTGAGCTATGAGGCGTGTCAGGAGCTCCTTCCCAGGATGTCCAGGCTTGCGTGTGTATTCACATGCTGTTGGTGTGCATTCGCATGCTGGCCCAGGTTCTTGAGCCCAGCAGGGGAGGATGCGCTTATTAACAGCTGTGTGGGATCTCGCGTTCAGAACGTGTGGCTCCACCGAGCGGCCGCGCTTCCGCTTTCTCGGCCCCCCGGCGCTTCCGAGGGCGGCGCTTGGAGGCAACGTTCCGGCTGCTCGGGCCTCGGCCCCACAGGGAGCCCTCTGGCTCTGCGGCAGAGCTCCGGCTGAAGCCCTCCGGGGGGCGCCGAGGGCCTGGGGTTGAAGAGCTCTCTCCGGTAGGTGGTAGGCGCTGTCTCTCCAGGGTGGCCAGGGACCCGTTGTGAAGTCATATTCCGAGGAGTCCCGCGCTCCGCCCTGCGCCTTCTTTGGGGGGAAGCCCACAGTCACCCAGGCAGCCTCCCACACATTTATGCGTTCCTTTTTCTCCCAGGGAAGGGCTCTCAGGAGGCAAAGAGACGTCGGCTGATTTTTAGGCACCACGCGCTCCTCCACCAAGTGACGAGGACCAGCCCAGGGTGGCGGAAGATTCCAAGTTTTATCATAAATCGTGGTGCTGGGACTTCCCTGGAGGTCCACACTTGAGACTTCACGCTCCCAATGCAGGGGGCATGGGAAAAAGAAGGGCAAAGGAGAGAAAGAAAGGAAGGTACTTCCCAACAAGAGGGCTGAAACGGGAGCCAGCGGGGGCAGAATCCGGAGCTGGGCCAGGCTGGGAGGGAGGAGAGTCTGTCTCCCGCATCCTCTTTCCCGGTCCTTGCACAGGAGTCCTCACTTTGCTTCCTGTTCCCCAATTTCCCATTTAAACCCAAGGTACCCATAGCCCTTATGCTTCTGCCAATGGTTTTTTGGGGTAAGTTCACTTCATTTGAGCGGTTCTGGAGGCTTATAGGACTTCCAAGCCTTGGGGGCTTTCCAGGTCTCTAATGGACTATTATATACTAGATTCTAAAGGGATAGAACAATGCACATTGTTCAAATGGATTGTCAAGGGTTTCCTGGTTCGCAGAGTTCATGGTTTAACCTATTACCAGCTAGCTCTGGCATCCGGACAGCTTAACATAACATGCATTTTATCCAACAACGCTGTTTTATGTGTCCATACTATCAGTGGACTTGACTGCAGGCAATTTATATGAGGTGCTGTCACAATGGATATATGGGGTTTTGTCTCCCAGAATGACTCTTCTCTTTGGGGAAATGCTGCTTCAAATGGCTAGGACTGTTGATTAATGGTGCTCCTGTATCTTCAGCACAAGAAGGGCGTGATGGCCCAAGGTGAACCGGTGATAGCAGTGTATCCGTTTGTTCATGAAGGTTGGTCCAGGGGTAGTCAGGTGACACCTTGAAATTCTGGGGCAGGATATTTCATCCTGGAGCAGCTGGAAACATCTTTTTCTCTCTGTCTTGCAATCTGTATGGTCTGACTCTTGACACCGCATGGACTGCTGCCTGGCGGGCTCCTCTGTCCATGGGATTTCCCAGGCAAGAATACTGGAGTTTATCACCATTTCCTTCTCCAGGGGATCTTCCCAACCCAGGGATCAAACTTGGGTCTCCTGCACTGCAGGCAGAGTCTCTACCACTGAGCCACCTGGGAAGCCGCTACCACGTATGCTTGTGCAAATAAAGCCCTCGGAAGAGAAACAGAAAGTAGAGTAAAGTATCAGCTACACAGAGAGAAGAGACCCCCGGCAGCCTTCAAGGCGTTTCCCTTGCACAGAGATGAGCAGACACCCAGTCCGCCCAAGGCAGCCCAGTTTACGTCGTTGCTCCGGCTTAGCCACTGACGTCTCCCTCTTTCATTTTCGAAGGGTTCCAGGTGGGAGACAATTTACATAATCACTGCTCCTATTGCAGTGTGGTTAAATAAAGTGATAAAGTCCTTTCCCCTCTTTAGTTAGTTCAAACTGGTTTTCTGTCATTTGCAACCAAAAACATCCTAGTTGACCTACCACTCTTTTCTAAGTAATCAGGAAATCTAATTTCCTCAACTTAACTGGCTTGAATTTTTCGGCAGATACCTGATTCTCCATCTGGTCCTTGGCCTCCACCTGTTTTGTGGAATTGAAACCTGGTTCTTCCAAGCTCCCCCAACCGCCTCATCCTGAACCTGCATGCCTTTACCCCACACTTCGCCACAGATCATCAGAGCCCGCAGATTGCGTCAGAAGGCTCTGGGGCCAGGCTTAGAGAAGAAAAGATCCTGGGTAGGTTTGAGGGACCCCTGGGTTCATGAGTGTCAACTCTGTTTCCCATGTATGTTTATTCTGCTCAAAGTCCTGGAAGAAAGTGTTGTTTAACCTGGATTTCTTTCATTAGGGGAAACTAGGGCACCATAAGAGACATCTTATTGTAACCACACAGGATGAGGGAGAGGCTGTCCACCTCCAGAGTATAGGCATTGTTCGGGAAAAAGAGGGCCAGCAACCCAAAAGCACATTCAACATTGTGTATGTGATAAGGCTGTTGGGAAGTTTTGCCAGCTCTTAGTATGTCTATCCCAATGAGAACTGACTGAACTCTTAAAATGCAGGTGCCTAGTACTCAGAAACATTGGAGATGAGGCAGTTTCTGGAGAAACTGTGAATTCCAGATCTGACTACCCTAAGTGATAATGGAGCCAATCTTTATGTATTGTGCATTTCCTTCATTTTTCAAAATATGTATTTATTTTTGGCTGTACTGGGTCTTAGTTGCAGCATGTGGGATCTATTACTGGTTCCCTGATCAGGGATTGCACCCGGGCTCCCTGAATTGGGAGTGCGGAGTCTCAGCCACTGGACCACCGGAAGTCCTCTACATGTTGTGCATTTCGGTAACCAGTGATCATGACACGCAGTGTTGGCTGGCGTCCGCAGGGATTCTGGCGGGGCTCCTCTCTGTCCGCACTCTCGTGTCTCGCGTCCACCTCGCTGTCCTGTCTGTGAGGCGTCCCCTCGGCCAGCATCACAGGACGCGCAGTCTCCAGGCTGAGGCGCGCTCCCGACCCCGTCTCTGCAGCACCCTGTCCCCTGCGGGCTTCCAGGCTTGGGTGCACTGCCCTCCGTGAGGCAGGTCCCCCCGTTCTGAATGGTCAGCACGGCCTCTCTTGCTCTGTCCTTTGGTCTTCTCTCTGCACCGTGTGTGACCTAGTAAAGCCCTGGGCTAACCTCGTTCAGTCCAGGTTAACCTCTGAGACTTTGCACTTCATCACTGACTCATGCAGGAGGCAGGCACCCTGACTTGTCCGTCCCAAACTGAGGTAGGATGCAGTAAAGAAGAACACAGTCTTGGAGTCCAGCTCACCTGATTCATAGCCCAGTTCTGCCCTTACCGTCATCATGCAAATGGGGGACTGAACCTCCGATAGCCTGATGCCTTGTATTTGGGGGCCCCCACCCTCTGGGATCTAATGCCAGATGATCTGAGGTGACTCTGATGTAACAATAACAGAAATAAAGTGCACAATACATGGGGCACACTTGAATCATCCTGAAACCATCCCCACCTCCACCCCATCCATGGAAACACTGTCATCCACGAAACCTGGCTCTGGGGCCAAAAAGTTGGGACCACGGCTCTGTAGCTTCCCTACAGTTCCACACGGCTTTGCAGATTTGCTTCATGTGTGAATATTTACTTTTTGCCCTATTTGGTAATAAATTGATTTCAGATAACTGATTTAGATAATATTTGTTTCCCTTCCCTTCGTATCATTGTGTCAGTATCAGAGTAAGGCGATCTACGCTGCGATAACAAGCCCTCGAGTCTCAGTGGTCAGACACTGGAGCCTGCTTCCTGCGCACATGTGACTCGGGACGCCCTCCTCCGGGGGAGACTCGGGTCGAGGCTGCTTCCTGCGCGCATGTGACTCGGGACGCCCTCCCCCGGGGGTGACTCGGGTCCAGGCTCCCTCCGTCACGTGAGCCGTCTAGTGCCACGCCCTTCGCGCCCCGCTCCACCGGAGGGGAGAAGCACTGCTTCACAGAATGCGCTGCAGGTGGCCTTGGCAGAGGCATCTCTAACTTTCTCCCACAAGGCTTCGGCCAGAACTGAGCCCCACCGTCCCTCCCAGATGCAAGGCCGGCTGGATAACAGACTTCCGTTGTGCCCAGGAGGAGGACTCCGGTTTGGTGATCAAGCATCTAGTGAGTCCACCACACTCACACGTCCCTGCTGGTACGTGTGGAAGTGTGAGGTTACTCTGTTTTTACTATGGTAACTAGAATGATATTAAGCCAGACATATAGTCAGCTCTTTACCTGGATTATCTCATTTAATTTGATTTTCACAACAACCTCATGAGTGTTTTGAGGATTTAAGAGAAGTGCTGTGGAAATGGCCAACAGTTATTCATTTCGTGTGCTGGTGCATTTCACATTCCCCAGGACAGCTGTCCAAGTGAGGGCACTAGAACAGCACCTCGTAACGTCTTTACTGTCCATGCTTGGAAATGAAGCATTTTGTTATGGAGTTGTATGATAGGGACGGGAGATTTACCAAAAGGAGTCTGCTCAAATCTTCGGTGACAAGACACACAGTATGGAGCGAACATGAAGCCGACAATTCAGGGCGTGAGAACAAGCCTCCCTGAGTCCTGTGGTTTAACTGGGGCTGATGCGCAGAGCCACGGACGTGGTTCTATTGTTTGTGGTCCAGCACGCATCCACAGCAGACGCAGCCTCTCCCCACGGCTTCTCCGGGGTGACTTCTGTGGCAAGGTTTTACCTCCACACTCGTGTTGACGCTTTCCCCCTCCCAGCCAGCATCCCAGAGATAGACTTCAGCACTCAGTAACTGCTGGAAGAGCCTGCTGGAGGCTGATAAGGAGAAATAACAGATTTTAAGTCAAAATGGGGAAGGAAAAGAGTGAGAAAGTCAGTTGGTGTCAAGGAAACAAAAGGCAAGGTGGATCAAAAGGAAACAGCCTTGTACTCCAGCTCACAGTCAGCGTAAATTCGTTAAAAAGGAAGCTTTCCTTGAACCTAGTCTGGACACTGCTGCTGCTAAGTCACTTCAGTCGTGGCCAACTCTGCGATCCCATAGATGGCAGCCCACCAGGCTCCCCCATCCCTGGGATTCTCCAGGCAAGAACACTGGAGTGGGGTGCCATTGCCTTCTCCAGTGCACGAAAGTGAAAAGTGAAAGTGAAGACGCTCAGTCGTGTCTGACTCTTAGCGACCCCATGGACTGCAGCCAACCAGGCTCCCCCGTCCATGGGATTCTACAGGCAAGAGCACTGGAGTGGGGTGCCATTGCCTTCTCTGAGTCTGGACACTAACCATGAAGAAACTCTTCACCACGAAAGGACACTGGATGAGAAGCTGTGCAAGCACTCTTTTCATCTTCTGCAGTAGAATTCCCTCCAGGGTGGCAGGGGTCAGGGGTGGGGGAGACTCCCGCCGGCACATGAGCGGAGTCTGTGTCCCTCGGGGGGCCTCGGCCCCCAGAGACCCCACGATTGTCCGGCCCCACCAGTCTGGCCCGGTGCACCAATGCGCGCTTTGTTTCTGGACTTGCTGCTTTTCATAGACAGAGGCTGACATCACCCAGAGGCGCCGCCGCAGAGCTGAGGCGGACAGAAGGCGTTCCCGAGGAGTGAGGACAGGGCACTGCAGCCCCGCNGCGCCGCCGCAGAGCTGAGGCGGACAGAAGGCGTTCCCGAGGAGTGAGGACAGGGCACTCCAGCCCCGCTGGTGAGCGTGGCTGGGGGCAGTTCTGCGGCCTCACAGGCTGGGAGCTGCAGTCAAGCAGCCCCCTGACAATCCCGTGCGCGTGTTAAACAGCCCAGCGTCACCATCGCGCTTCTCCTCCTGGGCGCCAACAACCCTGCATTATCCACAGCCCCTTTCTCTCCTAAGAAAGTCTATCAGAGTAACTTAGCTAGGATGTTGGGGGAGCCTTCCAGAATCAGATGACATGTTCCCATTTCTCAGTGAAAACTTCAACACACTCTTTTTTAAAACTATTTCTTACGTTTCAGGTTTTCGTTGCTCCTCGGGCTTTCTTCTGGCTGGGCCGCGCGGGCTGGGCCCCCTCCAGCTGCAGGCCCGGCTTCCATCCCGGGGGCTTCTCTTGTTGCCGAGCACAGGCTCGAGGGTGCCTGGGCTTTGGCAGCTGTGGTGCTTGGACTTAGCTGCTCCAAGGCATGTGGGATCTTCCCAGACCAGGGATCAAACCTGCATCTCCTGCACTGGCAGACAGATTCTTAACCTCTGGATCACCAGGGAAGTCTGACACAGTCTTCTTGACTTCTACTTCATGTACGAAAAGCACAACAGATCCAAGAAGGAAAAATTTGTCAGGGATGAAGAGACAGCAGCAACTCTCACAACCTGCATCAAGATGCAAATTTCATTCACACGAGTGTATGTACACTGGTGCGTGAGTGCAAAGTCCAGCTGTATCACCAAGCTCTGGCCTTGTGTTCTCGATGGAGGCTGTAGGGGAGGCAGAGGATCAAAAGGAAAGGTGCAGTTGATGAGACACCGTGAGATGCATTAGAAAGCGGTTACCTGGGATGATGTGCAGACAGGAAATAAAACAGCAGCATGCACAGGGTGCTTAATGTGGGCACGGCACACAGTGGACATTCAAGAGCTCCCACTGCTGTCAGGGAGAAGCTTTTCTTAGAAGCCTGGAGTTCGGAGATTTGCCTTGATTCCTTCCATGGTGGGTCTGTGACCTGAACACCCCTGTAAAAGAAGGCACTATATACATAGATACGTGATGGACTCCTACACAGCCCTAAAAAGGAATGGACTTGGAAATAAGTCAGATAGAGAAAGACAAATACTGTGTGATGTCACTTTCGTGTGGAGTCCAAAAGACCCAACCAGCCAGTGACGGTCACGAAACAGAAGCCGACGCACAGACACAGAAAGCAAACTAGAGGTGGCCGGGGGCCAGGGAGGCAGGAGGGACAGGACGGGGTGCGGGCGTGCCCAGGCATGCCCACTCCCGCTGCCCCCGGGACCGCAGCCCGCCAGGCTCCTCTGTCCACGGGATTCTCCAGGCAAGAGCGCTGGCGTGGCTGCCGTGTCCTCCTCCAGGAAGGCTGGGGTAGGGGATTACAACAGTAAGTTCCCTTTATCTCTCCCTGTCCTTGCTGTAAGTTTACTTTCTCCCAGAAAGATGCCATATTGAAGGCCTCCTGTGCCCCAGTAGATGTCAGTCTGACCTTACAGGAGGACCCAGGGAAAACTAAGACACACACACGCCTGCTTCCAGGGGCGAGGGGTGCTCTCCAGGGGCCATCTAAGAAACAGGAAGGAAAGAGGCGGCAGTATCGAGACTTCGAAACCCACTTCCATCTCAGGAGAGTACACTGTTAAGTTTGAGATTTTTACAAACACACATTTTTATTTAACAAACATTAATTATCAGAAGGACTGATGTTGAAGCTGAAACTCCAGTACTTTGGCCACCTGATGCGAAGAACTGACTCATTTGAAAAGACCCTGATGCTGGGGAAGATTGAAGATGGGAGAAGGGGGCGACAGAGGATGAGATGGTTGGATGGCATCACCGACTCAATGGACATGGGTTTGAGCAAGCTCTGGGAGTTGGTGATGGGCAGGGAGGCCTGGCGTGCTGCAGTCCACGGGGTCTCAAAGAGTCAGACATGAGTAAGCGACTGAACTGGTAGTGAAACATGAGGGAAGGGGGCAGGGCACAACCTTTAAAAGAATGGCATAGCAATAGGATATGACAAAAGCTGGTTAGAACTGACTAGATCCAAGATGGAAGAAGGTTCAACTCCCAGGAGACCCTGAGCCTCAATTGTAAGCTCACTGTGATGTATCAGCATACGGAATGACACAGCCACCAGTGTGCAGCCAACCCAAAAGGCCAAGGGCGCACGTGGTCCAAACCCTGGAAATCCCACCCCTTGCTTGAAACAGAATAACCCCCCCATTCACTAGCCTATAAAAACTAACCATGCCACATCCACGGCCTTTTCCCCTCGTGGCCCAGCAGGTAAAGAATCTGCCGAATCCGCCTGCAAAGCAGGAGGCCTGGGTTCCATCCCTGGGTTGGGAAGATCCCCTGCAGGAGGGAAAGGCTACCCACTCCAGTGTTCTGGCCTGGAGAATTCCATGGACTGTGTAGTCCCTGGGGTCGCAAAGAGTCGGACACAACTGAACGTCTCTCAGTTTTGAATATATCCTGTGTGACTTCCAGCGATGCCCGCAGCGCCCTGTGGGCTCCTGGTCAGGGAGGGCTTTTTGTCCTCCATTTCTTTTAGGCAAGACTCCAACCTCCATGACCTTCCCTGAGTTCCCGAAGGGCAGAACAGTTGCTAATCAAGGGAGGAGCAGTCAGGAAGCCACCCTAGGCAAGATTACAGGGACAGGAGAAGCTGGATTAGGACCAGATCACCCAGACCCTAATCTTATCAGCAGCTCCACCCTTTGAAACTTTGCAGAAGAAAGAAGAAAGCCGGACTGCTGATCCTCATCACACACCCTGCCCGCCTGTGTGTGTGCGCGGTCAGGGTCCTGCCCTTTGCGACCCCGCAGACGCAGCCCCCCAGGCTCCGGTGTCCATGGGATTTTCCAGGCAAGAATACTGCAGTGGGCTGCCCTGCCCTCGGGGGGATCTTCCCAACCCAGGGATCGAACCGCGCCTCTCACTCCTGCATTTGCAGATGGGTTCTTTACCCCGAGTGCCTCCTGGGGAGCCTGCCTGACTGTACAGCCTGTCTCTTCTCCAGCGAGGCGGGCAGTTCTTGAAGCGCTAGCCTACTGTGTTCCTTTGCCTGGCACAGTAAAAAAGTCACTCTTTCTTTCTCCTCTGTAACTCTGTCTCAGTATTCCTGTTTGGCATTGGTGCACAGAGAATCAAGATTTTGACAACACCAATAATTCTTGCCTCATAATAATCAGAGCTGTAGCATGGTAAATGTTTCAGAAACATCCTGGGCATTATGAAGACACTGATGTAATATGTTAGGATGACAAACTACTTCTGACATTTTCTGTACTTTAAACTTTATGAGCTTTGCAGCAAATTAGAATTCTCAATATCATTGACCAAATAAACATTTGACAAAAATTAAGAAGTTTCCGAATTTGGAGAAGATACTGCTCAACATCTATCGCTTTTATATTTCAGATGGGCAACTACTTTGGTTCAACCACTTTGAAAGGGAGTTAAATGTGACCTCGTAAAGTCAGTATTCACATGCCCTCTGACTCTCCTAAGTGGATTCCTAAGAAAAACTCCTACACTTGTCCCCAGGAGATGGTACCAGGCTGTTCATAGTAATCTTACTTACGACAACCACAACAGCAACAATGGAAGCAACCCAAATACCCGCTGACAAGAAAATTGACAAATAAACAGAAAATTCAGGAAGCTGTAAACAGTGAATTATAATTATACACAAACATCAAGACGAATCTTAGTAATATTATCCTGAACAAATATAAGCAAGTCCCAGAAGTCTATATAAAGCTGGATGTTCTTTTGTTACAGTTCATTAAAAAGAAAGCAACACAACCACCCAAACAAGATTAAGAACAAAAAGAACAGGGACCTCCTCAGTGTCAGTGGCCAAGACACCATGCTTCCATCGCAGGGGGCACAGGTTCAATCCCTGCCTGGGGAACCAAGATCCACGTGACACATGGCACGCTCCCCGCCCCCACCCCCAAAAAATGAACAACGGGGGGAGTTCCCTGATGGTCCAGTGGTTAGGACTTAGCGCTCTGACTATTGCCTGGCCAAGAAGAAAAGAACAAGAGAACGGTAAACAATATCCACCATTATGCTCACCTTGGGTGAGGGAAAGTGGGGGCAGGACCGGGGCGGGACAGCACGGAAGTATAAGGTTTTGTCACTGTCGCTCTGGTCCTGGGGTTGGACGGTGGTTTGTGCATCACCCCAGGATTGCATATTTCCCCGTCTCTATAGAGAGCAGCTTTCCAGAGACGGCCTAGACGTGACTCGTGAAGCTGAATGCAGGGTCCTGTCTGGTCAGTTTTGTATTCCTAGGGCCTATATAATGTGGTTTAGTCACTAAGTCGTGTCCGACTCTTTTGCGACCCTGTGGACTGTAGCCGCCCAGGTTCCTCTGTCCACGGTTTTTTCCAGGCAAGGACTCTGGAGTTGGTAGTGACTTCCTTCTCCAGGGGATTTTCCTGACCCAGGGATCGAACCCCTGTCTCCCATGTGTCCTGACTGGCGGGTGGATTCTTTACCACTGAGCCACCGGGGGGCCTTACACGTACGGCCCCTCGAAACAAGCCTTCAGTGAGGCTTGTGAATGAACGCACAGGGGAATAAATGAATAAATGAGAGAAAGAGGTAATGTTCTTTTGGTTAATATTGAGTGTAGTCTGGATAATCACTCACTTCCTTACTTATACCCTACATGCATTGACTTGTGGAACTGATTTCCTAATTAGTTGAAAATAATTTCAAAATATTTTGAATATTATTTCAAAATAGCAACCACATAGCATTTTCCCATATAGACTATTCCATCAGTCAGTTCAGTTGCTCAGTCGTGTCCGACTCTTTGCGACCCCATGAACCACAGCATGCCAGGCCTCCCTGTCCTTCATCAACTCCCGGAGTTCACCCAAACCCATGTCCACTGAGTCAGTGATGCCATCCAACATCTCATCCTCTGTCGTCCCCTTCTCCTCCTGCCCTCAATCTTTCCCAGCATCAAGGTCTTTACAAATGAGTCCGCTCTTCGCAACATTCATCAATAACTGTGTAGGGAGAAAATAATTTCAAATCAAATACAGTAGAGCAAAAAACTTTTTAATGCACTTTTTTTTCCCCCAGGCAAAAGAGCTTCAGAAAACATCCATCATTAAGTAGTTCTACAAATGGCACTTTTGGTTACATTAGAGAATTAGATACCAGCCCCACATGTTTTCTCTGATAAATTAGCTGTAGATCAGATTTACAATGCAACTCTTTCTTAGGATAAAAAAAATGGTTAATTTGTTCTAAAGAAAAGAAAAGCTGAAATCCTAAAGCATTGTTTTAAAAATTTAACATTTATTTCATGCTATACTGTCTATTGTTATATTATAATTTTAATTATTTTGCTATAATTTTTAAGAAACAGAAAATAAATTTCAACCTAATTTAAAAATAAACATATATATTAAGTACATATATTAATGCATTTGACAATACCATATAGTGACTTTGATTATGAACTTCCTTTTGGTACATGGTAGATTTGTCCTCTTGGTATTGAGCTGAGGAAAAACATATTATACCTGAAATTCTTCTTTGAATGAGTAAAACCATGGTCAATGACACCAACAGACTCCAACCAATTTGCAAAACTGAAATGATCTTGGGCTATTCTGATCATGAACATCAAAATGAAACACGATTAATATTCAACAGGAGAGAATACTTAACATTATCCAAACAGATCTTGAAAGCAGATTATTTTCATGACATATCTGAAAGGAATGAGTATTTGGAAAAGTGAGACTCTATTTTGGACTGAAAGCAGTGATTTTTTAAACTGTTAATTGTTACCACTCCAATGCATTCACCTTTCATAAGGTAGTGTGAAGTTGATCGTACCTAATCTACTCAAACATGGATCTCTTCTTCATGTTACCCACCATTTCTCAACCAGAAATGTATCAGTTCATATCATTATCTGACAGAGATGAATAAGAGAACATCAGATAGCAGAACCAACCCAAAGGGCGGCTGCATTTTCTCTCTACAGCAGAATCAACCAACATGGCTTTCAAATCACCGCTGACTGCACACCCTATGCTAATGACTTGACATAAAGCGATTTCTGTCTCCATCACTAACACACAGACACGGCACACAGCCAGCTGGAAAAACAAGCGTGTCTTTTCTGGGAACAAACTAAGTCATTTCAGAGATTCTCCATGAGCGATCTCAATTCTCACACACAATTCCCCAAAACGCAGACACACACATACGTAGGGCACAAAAGTTCTTTGAAATCCTGCTTCCTGCTAATTCAGAATAATTCTTGGTGTTCCGTTTAGGAATGGAGTTTCTAAATTTTAAAGCAGTTCAACTGTCAAAATACCATACAAAATATTTACTTTTTAACATGCTATGATTTAACAACTCAAGGCCTCACCTCCAGGGGTACAGGGCATAACCGCGTGTCATCCCCACCCCACCCTCCGCGGCGGGGGCCACACGGAGGACTCTGCACTGCGGGGAGGGGCGTGCTGGACCCAGGCCCGCCCAAGAAGACGGCTCCAAGCCTCAGCGACCGCAAAGGGCGAACCCGGGCTTTAGGTCTTAGGATTTCCTGACTCCTCAGTGTTCACTGGGCGTGGGCCTTTGTTCACAACTGCTGCACTTCTACCCGGAGGGTGGTCAGTGATTGACATCTGATTGCTGAAGTCTTCCAACAACTAGGTAACTCCTTAGGCCTTTATTCAAAAGGTAGTTATCGACTCTGGGTGGATTAAAAACAGCCAGACTCTTGGCAGCTCCTCCCATCACAAGGGGGAGTCTGCTTCCTGACCTCTTGGTTCTGGGCTAGCTCTGTGACTTGCACTGGCCAAGAAAAGGCTACGGAAGGGACACTGTGTGACCTCCGAGCATGTCCACAGAAGGGTCTGCAGTTTCTATGCTTCCTCTCTTTGATCTCATGAGACCCAACAGGGAGACTGGGTCAGCTATGGGGAAAGACTGCGTGAATCCATCAGAGGAGTCTCAGCCACAGCCCCAGGCCACAGCCAGACGGAGTCAGCCAGCCCCGAGCATCAGCCTGTCTGACCTCAGATGCGCGTGTGAACTCAGCCAGGACATCAGGCTGTGGTCGGTCCCCGAGCACAGCTCTGCCCCAAACACCAACCACAGGCTCCCGAGCGAACCAGTAGCATCAGAAGCTATGCTGTGGGTTGATTGCTCAGACAGCAGTGGAGAGCTGACAGCCTGCTCTGTGTCAGGAAACGTGCTAGGCGAAGGCAACACCTGGGGAGCGGGACTCAGTCCCGGCCTGCAGACGCTTAGAGAGAACTCAGGGAGACAGACGAGGAACGGGACCATTTCCTAGGAAATGTCAGCAGTGCTGGGATCACAGGAGGCTGGTATATAGGGGTCCCTGGGAATTTAAGAAGGGCATTCATCCCAGAACCAGGCTGCTGGCAAAGATTTCTCAGAGGGAATATATAACACAACACCGCAGGGGAGTTCGTAAGACAGACTGTTCCAGGCAAAGACAGAGAAAGAAGAACATTCCAGGGAGGAAAAGCCGCGTGTGCAAAAGCTGGAGAAAGCGCAACAGGGTCCTCTGGGCGAGGAGCGTTCACAGGGGGAGGATACAGCGTGGGCTGGGACCACAGCTCCTGAAGCAGAGCTCGCTGGCGTCTGGGCTTTAAGCTCAGGGTGGCGGGAGCCAAAGGCTTCCCTCCCTTCACCTTGGTACCCCTTCCTTCACCCGGGTCTTCATCTGAGCAAAGACATCAACGCCACTCTCTGAATCAAGGAAAACTCTCCTTTGCTGCTTAGGCTGGCTGAAGGGACGTGGAGATGTGCCAACGTCCGAACAGTCATCGGGATGGGAGAAGAGGAGCAGGCGAGAGGATGCCGTTCCTGGAGGCCTGCCTTCTCGAGGCTCCCGTGAACACCCAGGCCCAGAAGGCATTTGGGACGACCTTTTAAAGCCTGATGGTCAATGCCTCCCACTTACTGTTAAGAGTCCGGCCTTGATGAGCCTGTCTCCTCAGCTGTAACACGGAGATGACGCCGCCGCTGGCCGCCCGGGCACAGTGTGAGCGCGGCAAGGGCCAGAAGAAGGCGTCACGGACGGTCTCCAGGGGGGACGGGCTGGGGGGACAGGGCGTCCGCACGAGACAGAGTGTGTCTGAATCCAGCCTCTGTTACCAGGAGTTCCTGCCACTGTGGGAGCTTAGAGACCACTCCTAAACTTGCTCAGACTGAGCTTCCAATCCGAAACACGAGGCGATTCCAGCTGCCTCGCGGGTCGTGATGAGGATGAAGAGAGAGCACAGTGCCTGGCACATGTATAAACGTACGGCAGGGCTTCCCAAGGCCGGCCGACAGGACTCACGCTAGCACCCTACATTACTGCAAAACCCTGCTCTCGGCCTAAGGCTACAGACGAGAAGAGCTGGGTCACCAGAAGCACAGACGTCTGACATCTTCAGCAAGGCGTGTCCACTCCACCAGCACCACCACGTTACAGCCCATCACTAAAAAAAGGCTGAGGCACAACATTCATATTTTGTTACTACGTGATAAGGAAGTAGCCTTGTCATTTAGAACGTGTTATATGAAAATAAAAGGAACTGAGCACTCCCTGACTCCCTAATTTGGCAC